TTTTGTTGTTGTTGTTGCTGTGTGTGTGTGTGTGTGTGTGTGTGTGTGTGTGTGTGTGTGTGTGTGTGTAGAAAAGAGCCCAAATGTCACTGTTACTTTTGTAAACTCAGGTATATTCATGGGTCAGTATTTCTACAGCAATGAATCTAATGTAGAATTTATATTAACGATGGACATTAATACTTTTATAATTTAGACCATATCATAGATTGAACTCAGTCTCCCAAAAAGCATGTGTTATAAATCCTAACCCCTCTACATGTGGATATAATTTGTTTTGGGAATAGGGTTTTCTTTGTTATGTTAATGAGGCTACAACAGTATAGGTTATCTCTTAAGCCAATCACTTTTCAGATAAAAAAGGAGCAGCTAGACAGCACAGGAACAAGCAATGACAAACGGGAGCAACAGATGCCACAAGAAGACTGCCATGGAATCCAGGACTAGAAGCTGAAAGAGACACAGACTTTCCCAAGAGAGCCTTCCCCTTGAGCCGTCACCCTGAATTCGGACTTCTAGCCTCCTAAACTGTGAGAATATAAATTTCTGTTCATTAAAGCCACCTACTTGTGGTATTTCTGTTATAGCTGCACAAGATAACTAAGACAGCCCAGTACTGACAGTTATTCAGTGTCTAAAACAGTCACTTTCAAAGGACACTTTACGTGAAAAGACTCTATAGAAAAATGAAACAGCTTCCATGCCTCACACCACACACAAAAACAAATTCAAAATGGAGTAAGGACCTAAATGTGCAAACTAAAACAATAAAATTTTTAGAAGAAAAAGCAGGCGCAACGCTGTTAGGCCTAGCTTTTAACAACACATTATCTAACATACCAAAAGCACAAACAGCAAAAGACAAAATAAGTAAGTGGGACCTCATAAAAACTAAAAACTTTTGTTCATCAAAAGACTACCAAGAGAGTGAAGACAAGCTACCTACCAACTGGGAGAATATCTTCGGAAACCATATATTCAACAAGAATCTAATAACCAAAATACATATAAAACTTCAACAACAAAATAACCCAATCATAAAATGGGCAAAAGACTTAAATAGACATTTCACCAAAGAGGACATTTAAATGGTCACCAAACACATGAAAACATGCTCTGCAACATTAGCCATCAGAAAGATACAAATCAAAACCACAATGAAGTATCACTTCACTCCCACCAGGACGGCTAAGAATAAAAAAACTGAAAATAAATGTTGTTGAGGCTATGACTCAGCAATTCCACTCCTAGGTATATACTCAATAGATTTGAAAGCACAGACTCAAAAAGAGACGTGTACACTAATGTTCATTGCAGCACTCTTCACAAATCAATAGCCAAAAAATAGAAACAACCTACATGTCCATCAACAGATAAATGAGTAAACAAAACGTGATACATACATACAATGGAATACTACTCAGCCAGTAGACATGAAGTCTTGATACCTGCTACAATATGGATGCAGCTGAAGACACTACGCTGAGTGAAATAAGTCAATCACAAAAGGACACATATTGTATGACCTCTCTTAAGGCAAGAAAGGGCAAAAGTATGGAGACCAAAGTTTAGAAGTGGTTACTAGGGACAGGAGGGAGGGGGTAACGGAGAGGATTAATGGTGATGGAAATATTGCATTGATTAAGGGTAGGGTTGCAAAGCCGAGTACTGTAACTGCTGTCAATAAGTTGTGCACCTGAAAAAGCTGAACTGGCAAAAGTTGTGTGATAGAAATATTTACAACAATAATAACAAAAAGGGTAGCTGCTGAGGCTACTTATGTACAACTAAAATCCTCATGGGATTTGGTTTCTTAGTTTGGAGGTTTAAGGTCATGGTTTCATGGGACATTCCAATTAACTGGCCTAATAATGTGTTTAGTGTTTCTGTTCTACTTCCTAGTTCACTGTGTAGTGCCTGGGGTCTTAAAAGCTTGCAAGCCTCAGTCCAAGGCACAATAATTGGTTTCTATTCACCTGGAGCAATAGAAGAAAGAGGAGACTCAGAACAGAAGGAGGACATGGAATATGTGGCTAACTGCCTCCATGAACAACTGCCTCCTTTGCCATGAGACCAGAAGAACTGGATGGTGCCCAGCTACATTACTGAATATTTTGATCAAAGATTCCACAGAAGAATCCTGATCAAAAGGGAGGAAATGCAGAATATAATTTCAAATTTTCATGGACTCCAGACTTCCTGGAGCCATGGAGGGTGGATGAACCCCTGAAACTACTGTCCTTTAAACCTTAAACCAAAAACATCCCCTGAAGTCTTCTTAAAACCAAACAACAGTTTAGCTTAACTAGTAAAAAAATGTTTGCCTTGAATATTATGCTCTTTTCAGATCTATATGGGATCAAACTGACAACAGCAACTTGAAAGATTAGATAGGAATCTCACCAGGCAGTGAAGTTATGTTAATGAGGGAAGAACAACTCGGAAAAGGAGAGTAAGAACGGTTGCACAACTGGAAGAATGTAATCAATGTAACTAAAAGGTACATGTAGAAACTATTGAATTGGTGTATGTTCTGCTGTGTATATTTTTAACAACAAAATGAATGCTTTTTTTTTAAAAAAAGAAAGTGAAAAGACAACCCATTGAATGGGAGAAAAATCTGCAAATCAGGGATCTGCTAATGTATATCTAGAATACATTAAGAATTCTTGCTGTTGTTGTTAACTATCCTTCGGTGGGCTCCCAACTCTTAACCCCTGTACAACAGAGCCATTTCCAAGATAGGACTGGACCTTTGGGATCCATAGGGTTTTCACTGGCTAATTTTTGGAAGTAGATTGCCACTTACAACTTAATAGTGAGACAAACAACCCAATTAAAAAACGAGCAGAGGATCTGAATAGACATTTCTCCAAAGACATGCAAAAAGCCAATAAGCACCTGAAAAGATGTTCAACAGAGACATACAAATCAAAACCACAATGAGATACCATTTCATACCCATTAGGATGGCTGTAACCAAAGATGGATAAGAAGTGTTGGTGAGGATGAAGAGAAACTGGAACCCTAATACAGTGCTGGTGGAAATGCAAAATGGTGCAGTCATTCTGGAAAACAGTCTGGCAGCTCCCGAAAATGTTAAACATGAGTTGTCATGCCAGTTAAAAAACCAGCTGCTGTAGAGTCAATTCTAACTCATGGTGGCCCCATGTGGGCCAGAACAGAACTGTGCTCCATGGAGTTTTCAACGGCTGATTTTTGGGGGGAAGTAAATCACCCGGCCTTTCTTCTAAGGTGCCTTTAGGTGGACTCAAACCGCCAACCTTTTGGTTAGAGCCAAGGGCATTAACCATCTGCACCACCCAGGGACTCCACAGATATCTGTAGTTAGTTGAAACTGCCACAGAAATGATTAACGCCATATTCCAAGATAAACCCATTGCTGTGGAGTCGATTCTGACTCACACTGACCCTACAGGACAGAACAGAACTGCCCCATATGATTTCCAAGAAGCGGGTGGTAGATTCAAACTGCCGACCTGTTACCACAAGGATGCAAAGAAATGGAATGTGATTAGTTAAGATTAAGCATTATTTATTCAGGTTTCTCTCATGTGAAACGTCTGTAAACAGCATTGCTATTTTTCTGTTGGGTTGTCTCATTCGTTTGTAGTAATTCTTAAGATAGCCTGAGTATCAATCCTTTATTGATTATGTGTTTCTAAGTGCCCTTTCTAAAAAAAAAAAAAAAATGTATAAACCTGTTATTGATTTTGAAATCTAGTAAAGTGTAGAAGCAAAGACAGTTTCTGACTTCTCAAAGTCTACAGTTAGCTATTTTTCCAACCTATATATTAATGTTTCTCAAATCTTTCTGAACACTCAGAAAGCCTAGTTTCTCACTGAGAGCCAATATACATATACTTATTTATAAACTGAAAAACAGGGCTCTAAATCAGTGTCTTCTAAAGGACGACATATCTTAACGCCAAGCAAATACACTTAAGTATTCTGTAGGAAAAGGGCAATTTGCCTCTATTCTATACAGCCAATGCCACATTTTAGCTGCCATGTTAATACATCACATACCTTTCATGAGTCAGTAAACAAGTATCTATTTTAATAACGGTTGGTTAAAACTTAACATTTAATAACTATCATATCCATCAAGGTGTTTGAAACAACAATGAAGAGCTTCTACTCTACCCAATGAATTAATAATAAAGATACAAATTAAATTTCAGGCCAAGCAAATTAAATTTTTAATTTTTCAGTCGCATTAACATACAATCAATTCTTTACAGATAAAGCTGCTGGACAGACTCAGAATATTTTAGTGACAACTGCTCAAAGCTCAAAAAAGTTTACTTCATTTACAGGCGCACTACCAAATGTTTTGCAAAAGACGCTGCACATACAGCAGGACCTTAGATCAGTTAATCTAACTTCCTCATTTTCAGGTGAAGCAACCGCAATCCAAAAGTTAAGAAACTTGCTCAATCTTGGTCCTCTAAAATCTACAAATTAGGGATTCTTTTCACCGCATTACGCACTTTTAGGCTCCCCAGTTCTAAAACTCTGACCCATCTATTAATTTTACAAGATCAGGTTTATGTATTATAGAAATGAAGTTACTCCCATCCCCACACTAATCTATCCCTTTCCACTTCCTTACCTTTTCCCTCCCCTATCCACCGCTATAATCGACGAAAAGATAAAGTACCAGCCTGCCTTAATTTCTGGCTCTAATTGTATGCGGCGTCCCAAACCCCTAGCTACTGTTCCTGTGTTAAATTAACATAGGTTTAATTTTATCCTTCATTCCTTTATTCAACTAACACCTACTAAACGCCAGCTTTGCAGGGAGCGCGGTGCATGCGGCTCATACCCCGCGGACAGCCGCGCGCCGGCACGGAGACGGCTCTCCAGACGTCAGGGAGCCGCGGGGCTGAGGGTGCGGGGCTCCGGGTAAGCAGGGCGGGAGTCCCGGTGGCGCCTGGGAAAGAGCCGGGTGGCGGAGAACGGCGCGGACGGCTCACCTTTACGCAGCTCCCGCTCCCACACGGTGACGATGGGCCGCGAGTGCTTGCGGTGGTGGATGAGCCACAGAGACAAGGTCTGCACGCTCTGCTGCGAGTTGCTCAACTCCGACAGCTTCTTCTCCAGCGCCGCCTCAGAGAAGGCGGACATCCCTCCGACACCACGTTCACGCCGTCCCACGCGATGGGGCTGCGGGGAGGAGAGTTTCGCCGCCCTCGTCGCGGCCTCGCCCCCTCACTCCACCCTTCCCCACGCCCTCAATACCGCCGGCGCCACATCCAAGCCCAGCCGAAAACCAGCAAGATGGCGTCCGGCCGGCAGTGACGTCAGAGACCGCCGGGTCCCAGCTTTCTAGCTACAAGTCCTCGGAAGGGGCGCGGCCTCGGCCCAGAGGCGGAAGAGGCGAGGCTGAAACAAGTGCAGGTGAGGCCAGCGAGGGCGGGCCGCTTGTGTTGAGGCGGGCGGTAGACAGGTTTTAATGGGCCTAGAACCTTCCTGGGGGAAAACAGTCACTGCCAAGGAAGGAGTGATTAAAACTGTCTATTTAGGCGTGTAAATTGGTACAGCCACTGTGTAAGACTATTTGACATGATCAATTAAATTTCAAAGTACACTTTCCCAGTTACCTGCAACTAATTGCTATCAATGATAAACACCAGCATATTTGTACAAGGAACTGTGCTAGCTGTTCCCGAAGTAATAGTGAAAAGTTGGGACAGTCACAGCAGGTAAGTGGCTAAATTGTGATACATCCATATTACAAAATCTATGCAGTCATTTAAAAAATGAATAAATCAAGATATGGTGGATTTGGTTTTTTTTAAGTTACAGAAGGAAAAATACAGTATAACTTTTTTTAAAAGTTCGTATTTTATATGAATTCAGAAATACGTAAAAGCACAGCAAAAGGTCTGGAAGAGTGCGCACCACAGTAATAGTACTTTTCTCAGGGAGAGGATCAGAGTTTGAGCACTTAAGGCATGTCTATATTGTTTTCATTTTTTTTACAAGGAGAAAATAGTAATGTATTATTAATATAACTGAAAATCAGTTTCAGAAATCTCATAGTTATTCCAGCATATCTGGACATAGTGCTTGTCTTAACTATGATAATTCACAAAGACAATAAAAAGATGAACACTGTCATGTTCTAAATACAAGAAACTTCCAGAAAGATGAACAAGAGACCATAGGAATTCATAAACGACCTGTTGAGAAGCACTGTTCGTGTACTTTACACATTATATGCACCTGTATTAGTCAGGGTTCTCTAGAGAAATAGAACCAGTAGGATATATAGAGAAAGAGAGAAGTTGGCTCACGCAGTTAAGGGGACTGACAAGTCCAAAATCCGTATACAGGTCAAGCAACAGGCTGGAAAGTCCACCAGTCTTGTATCTTAATTGGTAGGCCAGGTGATGGGCTGGAAATTCTAGAAGGATATCTATATTACAGTCTTTATTCTCCTCTCAGAAACCTCAGGTTTTTTTTTAAGGCCTTCAGCTGATCGGATGAGGCCCACCCACATTATCCAGGGTACCTTCACAGCAACATCTAGATCAGTGTTTCATCACAACTGGGTCCCATAATCTAGCCAAACTGACACATAAAATTAACCATCACAGCATCACATATGTTCATTTTGTTATAAATAAAGCTTCTCTTTCCCATTTTTCATGTTACTCTATCTTGGGGTTCAGAGATAGCTCAAAAGATGAGGTAACTCTTTTCTCACTCCAATATCTTTCTGTCTGCACATTCTTTGCTTTCCCCTTTGTCCAGTCTTTTGTTTATTTAATCTAATTAGCCTCATTTTTCACTTTAACTTAGTCCAAGTTTAACCTGTTGTTTTCTAAGACCTACATGTATCTTCAACACGATTCCCTTCCATGAACTGTGCAGCTACTAAAATTGCTACTCATCTCCCAAATTATGTCTTCACCTTTGATGTCCAAGTTTTCCCACTCCCTTCCTGTCTATCTCAATTCTCCTTGAACTTTACAGACCAGCTTAGATTCCATTTTGTTTTCTTCCCCAACCATCCCCATACATGTAGGAATTTTCTTCCTCTGTCATTGGATACCTTACTTAGCACTCATTCTACTAGCCTATGTTATTTATAATTTAATATATATACACTGTCTCTCCAACTAGGTTTTACTTTCAGTGAATCAGCCGAAGTGCCAACTCACCTGTCTTTCGTGGTTCTCAGTCGGATTTGACTGCTCCTGCTCTGGGCTTCCACAGTATTCTCTATGTGAGTGCACCATGGCTTTCCAAACCAGGCTATTAGATCTCTATTTATTGACATTGTTTTTAAAATATTGCCTGTAACTATTTATTGCCCTTAGATACTTATGACTTATGTACATATCTTGTCTTCTCTGACAACTCTTTTTGATTTTTATCTTTTCAAATTCAGGCTCCAAATTCAGAATAATGAGTTTTTTACATAAATTGTCTTTTGAGTTTCTTTGAATGGCCACTAAGTAATCAAAAGATATGCTCCTTCAGTTTCTAAAAAGAAGGCTATTACAAAAAACAAAACAAAACAAAAAACTATAGACCCATATCCCTTAGGAATATGGATGCAAAAATCCTCAACAAAATACTAGAAAAATGAATCCAGCAGCATATTAAGAGGATTATTTATTGCTTTAGCTAATAAAATGAGTGGAGCCAAACTAGGATAGATTAGAAAGGCTCAAATAAGCACATGTCTCCTCTATAGAGTTTTCCAAACCAGCATCTAGCAAGCACTAGCATCCCCAAATATTGCTGAGAGGGAAGATTGACGGTGTGAAAGGTAAACAAGGTGCTCCTGTGAAACATTAAACAATAGATGTCATGTTGGGAAAGCAGTTGTGGAGTCCAAAAGAGATGGAGACAAATTAGAGACTCAAGTGCATAGAGTAAGAAAAGGCCCTAGAACTGAACCTTGAGGAGTTGCAACATTTGGAGGCCGATGGCGAGGGTGAACAGACCTACCAAGTGTGGTGGTCTTGAAGCCACAGCAAGAGGATGTTGAAGGAAGCGGGAGTGATTAACTATGTCAGATGTAGTTTCCCTGAATGGCCACTAAGTAATGTAAAGAAAACTCTTTATTAGATTAAGTTACCAGGAAATGATGGTGGCCTTAGCAAGAGGAATTTTAGTTTAGTGGTGTGAGCAAGAGCGGAGGCCTGCTTGCCTTGGGTGAAGAGAGAAACGGAAGTAGGAGACTAGTTGTGTGCACAGAGAACTTTTTTTTCCCCCAAATATTTACTAGCCACTTCTACTTTCTCTTTCATTAATTTTCTGTTTATGTTCTGTTCAAGAGTCTTAGTACTGTTTTTTTTTTTGACACAACAGAATAATGAGCTTTTATTGTGCTTTAAGTGAAAGTTTATAGTTCAAGTCAGTTTCTCATACAAAAATTTATACACACGTTGCTGTATGACCCTAGTTGCTCTCTGTGTACTGTGAGACAGCACACTCCTCCTTTCTACCCTGGATTTCCCATGTCCATTCAACCAGCTCCTGACTCTCTGCCTTCTCATTTCGCCTCCGGACAGGAGTTGCCCATTTAGTCTCCTGTATCTACCTGACTAAGAAGCACACTCCTCACAAGTATCACTTTATGTCCCATAGTCCAGTCCAATCTTTGTCTGAAGAGTTGGCCTTGGGAATGGTTTCAGCTCTGGGCCAACAGAGAGTCTGGGGGCCATGTCTTCCGGGGTTCCTTCAGTCTCAGTCAAACCATTAAGTCTGGTCTTTTTCCTAGAATTTAAGTTCTGCACCCCGCTTTTCTCCCACTCCATCAGGGACTCTCTGTTGTGTTCCCTATCAAGGCAGTCATTGGTGGCAGCTGGGCATCATCTAGTTCTTCTGGTCTTAGGCGGATGGAGTCTCTGGTTTATATGGCCCTTTCTGTCTCTTGAGCTAGTATTTTCCTTATGTCTTTGGTGTTCTTCATTCTGCTTTACTCCAGATGGGTTGGGACCAATTGATGCATCTTAGATGGCTGCTTGCTAGCTTTTAAGACCCCAGACGCCACTCACCAAAGTGAGATGCAAAACATTTTCTAAATAAACTTTGTTATGCCAATTGACCTAGATGTCCCCTGAGACCATGGTCCCCAGACCCCTGCCCCTGCTACTCTATCTCTCAAAGTGTTTGGTTGTATTCAGGAAACTTCTTAGGTTTTGGTTCAGTCCAGTTGGTACAGAGAGCTGTTTCAAGAAGTTTGTCTGAGAGGGAGTGGAGATAATAGAGTCTAGCAAGAAAGGAATGGGGGCTTAAGGGAGGCTTGTTTGGTTTGGCTTCAAGATGGGAGAAGAGTCTTGAGCATGTTTTAGTGATGATAGGAGGGATCCAGAGAATGTACCAGAAAGTTAAGAGTAGGCTGGAGACATGAGATCTGGGGAGGTAACTAGAAGGAAGGATTGGAGCAAGAGCTGGATTTGGTAATAGGAAATTGGTGATTTTTATCATCTCGTGAGTTTTATGTTCTCTCTGATTAAAAAGACGAGATTATTTTCTGACAGTGCCATGGGTAAGCTGCATGCAAGCAGAGAACAGGAGAGGAGAGCAGTGGTTTCTGAGTTTTCAGAAGCTCTATGGAGAGAAGGGGATGAGGTGGCTGGGCATTGTAGGAGCTTTGGCAAAGTCAGTGATGGTGTACTAACTTAGAGTTGTGGTAGTTTGCCCAGCTGTGGGATTTCCTCCAGCAGCACTGGAGACCATGGGCTTCATCACAGAGCTTTCAGATTTGGCAAAAGGATTATTGAGATAATGGACTATGGGCTTTCAGCTGGATTAAAAATGGGACAAGGGAGGATTGAGAGACAAGAAAATTGTGGGGGTGGGGGAGGTCTGTGGACAGAAGATCTGGTGCCTGTAAAGAACTGCAGTAGTAACCCTTTCAAGATCCGTGGGACGTAGGGTATCCCACCCACTTTTTATGCCCCTGGAGTTCTTTGGAAAGGGGTTAGCCTGATTTTGATGCACTTAGTCTCAAGCGGGAGCCTCCTGAAAAGCGTGAAACTAAGAAATCCCGAGTGGGAGCCTCATATTTGTGCAGACTGAACATTGTCTAGGTGATGCCTCCTGCGTGTGTGAATTTTCTAAAATTTTTTCTTTCTTTTTTTTTTTTTTGGCTTTAACAAAGAGAAATTTATTGCTTTAGAATAAAGTCCAAATTCGGGGCGTCAGCTCCAGGGAAAGGTTTTCTTTCTCTGTCGGCCTTCTCATCGATGTTCCCCCGGACTAGGAGCTTCTCCGTGCAGGGACCCTGGGTCGAAAGGAGATGCTCTGCTCCTGGCACTGCTTTCTTGGTGGTATGAGGTCC